GTCGAGTTTATAACACGGTTCCATGGGCGGTATCTGCACGAGATACCACCATCACCACCAAAAGCAACAACGACAACAACAGCGGCGGCGGCGGCGGCGGCGGCGGCGGCGGCGGCGGCGGCGGCAGCAGCAGCAGCAGCAGCAGAAGCAACAGCGAGCGACGGCTGGACGGCGACCTGACCCAACATGGAGTTCGTAGTCCACCCGACCAAATAGTTCGAGTTAGGCGGTATATAATAGATGGCTGAAGCCGGCACACAGGTCGACCGCCGCCGATAAAGAGCGAAACATCAGAAGCTATACAAACCAACAAACAACACATTGGCTAGATTCCTGGAAGTAGTACCCCGGTAAATTGCTATTGACTTGATGGTGCTGCCGCTGTGGGCCACGCCACAGCAGCCATGACGATCTTAACCTTTCAACGAATATCCAGCCGATGAGTGGAACGAAAGCCTTAGAAATCCGTGAAGATCTGTTCAACAGATAGCAGTGGCAGTCGAACGGTGCTCAGCGACTGAATAAGATGTGTAAGGCAGAAAATATGACATCAGCCACTGTGATAGGACCAGCAGTGGGGGCCTTCAAAGGAGCAGATTACAGCTCAGACCGTAGGCTTGTTGAGCACCATAGAGAAGCGGAGGGAACAGGCTTCGATGTCGACCTGGATACTCCAGGCTAGTATGATATTTTAGGATGAGTTCCTAGAGGTGTGCGTGAAGGCATAGCATCATAGAAATGGCCGACTGCAACAGGCGTACTAGATTCATAAGACGTTCCGCAGAACGTGCTGTCTATAATTAGTAGAACTATCTTGCGATACATTATATTTTCCGAAAGGAAGCGCAAGCTTGCATTTGAGAAAAATTTATTGGTTGGATCAGCTACGCCAGCTAACATATTCGAAGTTACGTTACTGTTGAACTAGACTGAGAAATAAACTTGTACTAAAAGTTATATACTGAATGTCTATGTTATTATTTAACTGCTGATTAATTATTATAGCAGTCGTTCCCTTTCGTAATTAGCATCCGTACATCGACTGTGCTTCTTCTGCATAGCTATATCTGCCCGACAATTCATATCATCGAGTGATTTTTTTTTTCTAAACTACACAAACAACGGAACCTCTTGTTTCTATCAGTTATGATTCAAGTCATTGAGTTAGTTGACGTGACTCCTAGAAGGAGTTGTACTCCTTCGCAATGCTCATGGCTAAGGATAATTCGCAAATGTAGCAATAATCGCATTATGGCAACCTAATGTTGAAGGATCCTATTTCTGGGAATGTGTTATTAGTATTTCGCCTAGATGTTTCAAGAGTACCTAGAAATCCTCTTTGTTTCTATATGAACGGGGGTGTTTTCTTGTCGCTGACGGGGTGACCCCACAGCAACCCCAGTTATAGTGCAATGAATGCAAAAAAATAATCTACATAGGCAGTGTTACTCTAGCATCGCTTTCGTTGTTTTTTTTTGTAACGCTGTTCCTCTCGGTAATTTGCTGTACACGCCACCTGCCACGGGTACGGGCACCGGCACTGTGGTTCAGCCTTACGAAGTCATGTCGGTCGTAAGATCTTCTTGTCCAAAACGCCTGAAATGATTACTTTTAGCATGAACACCATTATGATTTATACGATATCTTGAAGGGCCCTGTGGTGCTGCTCTGAGTTGTTATTAAGCATCTCTAGCTTTGGCCGATAACTATTTCTAATTACCTAATCTCAATAACTGCTTGCTTAGATGGAAGAAAGTGAAACTCAGCTAAACAGATTACGTTCACTAAGAGTAAATGGGCAGCGTTTGTAATGCTATCCGTCCTTGAGTGATGCCCCGTAGCAACCGCTCTCTAAGAATGCCCCGGCGCCAGTTTGCTCCTTCAATGCCACCGATTTCTGACCCTAAATGGCGGAGCGGTTGAAAGGGCCTGACATCTGATCAGTCGTTATCGTCCTGGACGGCGCAGAGACTTTTCCCCTCGGTTGTTGTTGCTAATCGCACCGTCGTTCGCTTTCATTCTCAACAAAACCTGACCAATGTTTCGGCACATAGAGCCTTTGTTGAGGCTAGCTGGCGCGCCTCGATAGGATTTTTACACCGAACCGTCGAACGGTCAACGGTGAGACGATCAATGCTGACCAGAAAACATCCGCGGCAGTTTGGACTCGTTCTGAAGCAGCGACCGAAGCTTAAGAGATGCCATACTTGGACTAACCATCCGTTCGCTTATCTCCTCTGCATCTATATATATATAATCGCATAGTATTGTCGGTAGGTGAACAAAATTGAATGTAGCACTAGTTAGTTTGCGTGCTTAGGTACGTTCTCAAACATAGATAGATGGCCAGCGCATAAGAGGATGCGGCAAGCAACGCTTTTTAGTGGTACGTTTGAAGCGAAATGCCTAAACGGAGATGAGACCCATGAGACCCATCAGTTGTGCGCGGATCGTATCAGAATCTAGTTCGAAAATGTCATATGAGAGCATTTGTGGTTTTGCTTGATACAGACAGGCGTATAAATGAAATCTCTTTCATTTTTCAATATTTTAAAAGAAATAAGCAGAAGTTCCTCAACCGGTCAGTTTATCTGATGCATTGCATGCTTCTAAAGCGATTATATGTTATACAATTCCAGCGGCCTTGAATCGCGTTCGGTATCCCGCTAGATGTATTTAGGATGCTGTATAAGGGCAGACGTGATGGATTTCAGCCGTGCAAAAAATACCTGCACTCACTGTCAGTATAGCTCAAGGGCACGTACAAAGTGCACGCTAAAAAAGGCGAATTTTTTTTGAGTAAGGCCGAGCTGCATTGTTGCATGGAGCGGAATAGAAGAAGGGTGTGGAGAGGAAAAATTAGTTCGATGTTCGCGTCACCCATATTGGCACAACATTTAGCGGCCTGCGAGAGAAAGTGAGCCGGTCAACTAGATAACTTTCGTTGTTTATGATGCACTGTTATTCTTTAATATGCTTAATATTGTTGCAGTACTTTAGCTTCATCCCATTTCGTATCTAACTTAATTGCAGAACTTAAAGAGAAACCTACGTTTGGTAGACACTTGCTAAGTGCTACCGAAGTGGCATACAACGGTGGATAATTGCATGTCTTCATTTTACGTCACGCCCTCTTGAGTTCGTCTTAATTAGTTGGCTTCATATTAATAGTCACTTTCGAATCCTGAAAAATAGTGTTCTATTTCGGCCTGTTTTGTCCGTGCTGAATTTTTGAATTATGACGTATATTTCTATATTAATCTCTATTGATCCCTGAGTTCGAATGTTGAATATTGTTTGCCGGCAATATGTATGTAGAAACAACGATGAAGTGGCAAATGTCCGCTGATCAATGCGTTTGCTGAATAGAGGAAACTGTGAAAAAAAAAATTTCTCTTACGTGTATTGTTGTTTTTACTTTACAATGTTTTTACTTTGAACTGTAACAGTGCGGCTTATTCAGCTTAAACTTCTGCATGCTGAAGAACCACTGGTACAGGAAACACATGTTGAATATACCAAAATGATAGCTTAAGACCGACTATTTAACATAATTAGGTACAAAAACGTTTTGATATAGGCGTTTCCCAATAAAACTTTCTTTCTAAGAGAAGCTATATGCTCCTTCCATACACCCTGTAACAATCCATGATGAAAGAAAAAAAAGCAACAAAAGTTGAATTTAATCAATTCTGCAAGCCTGAAATCGATCACACATATAACCTGATTTCGTCGCCGTGAGAGTAGTTTCGAATGTTGCCTATTGCGACCTTTGTCAAAGAAAGTTGTCCCAACAAAGATAAGCCATTAGCACGGCTTACCAACATTTAACTACTGCTAGAGCCAAGGGCAAAAAAAGGAACTCAGATATATCCTTTCTGTATGATGGCCCGTTGAATTACTATGCTTTTTCATATTGATATATAGTAATAACATCGTTTCGTACCGTTTTTATTGATCCATTTCTAGCTAAGGAGAATGTGATCACCTCTGCTTAATTTGGTATCAAAAGGGCATTCTGAAGTTGAATCAAGAGTGGCTTATCTAATCGGCTTCATTCCGACTTACTACGAACCGTCTGAAACGTTCGCATAGTCCTATAACATCCCATGCTCCCATAACAGGTGCGCAGAAATTACGGGTCTAGTATCTAAAGGCTTTTCAGTTGCGTTTCATTAGCAACGTATCCTGTTTACCAACACTGTTATCAAAGGCCGGCTAAGAAATAATTCCATCGCATGTGTTTCATTTGTATCGCTGCACGTCCATATTTGTCCTGGACAACGCAGGACAGCTGTGGTTAACAACTTAGGGCTATTAGAACAAATCCTGATATTTTGGATGGTCTTGTATTACGTGCTGGTTCAAGCTATTTGGGGGTAGAGGCCTCGTTATTGTACCCAGTAAACCTTCAGCCACATTACTCCAGCTGATATTCGCCTATGTCCAAAGAGACTTAAATTTTATAATAACTTCCCTATGTTTCGAGATTTACGTCCGGCATCATCGCCGTTAGACGTGCCAACAGGCGGTTGGCTCCCAGCACGATGCAAAGAGTATCAGTATCCGAATTCGAGTTTGGACCACAATGTGTGTCTAACGTGAAAAGGCAAATGCGTTACTTGACCCCGTAATAGCTCCTATAGAACGTTAGCGACAGAAGGATAACTAATGAAAATGAAATTGTAAAAGAATAACATAGAACTCAAACTTAATACAACTTTGTTACCCTCCATTTGCCCCATTGACACCTGGATGCGGCTACGAGCCTTATAAAGTTTCTTTAAAAAAATAAGTCCACAGGCCAATCCCACTTGGCTTAAAATTTGTTCAACTGTTGTCAAAGGTCTTAAAAAATGTGTTCCTACAAACACTACTGCGATTTGGCCTGTTGATCCAGACTGTGCCTGATGCACAGAAAACGCTTTTGCAAAGAAAAACGCATCGGATATAGGTAGACGACTAGTACAATTTCTCATTTATTTGTCCGATGACCGGCCAACAGGTCCTGACTGACCCAAATTTAGATAAAAAATTACTCAGTGACTACTATCTCCAAACAAGTTCAAATTTTGACTAACCGAACACGCTGCTCATCAATAATATCCTGGATAACACCACATAGCAAAATAACGACTATTCCAGTAGGACAGCGGTAGCGATAGCCAGGACTATATTCATCGATATAATGCCAATGACAGTCACCACTGGGCGCTTGTCTACGTCGATAAATTTTTAGGCCAACCGATAGTCGTGAGCGCGGAGTGGCCATGCTGGAGTCGTCCTATTACGTCAGTTGTAGCCTGTATAACGACGGTCAGTGCAGATAACGGAAGGCAAACTTCGTATTAGCCAGGTAGTATAAAATGGCCGCCCGTAAGGGAGCGTTTTTTTTTTCGCTCGTTTTGCCGTTGACCTGCAGAGCAACAGAGTCGGCATTAAAATGATTCTATACATAAATGCGTGAGATGACAAATCCATGCCAATAGATCAGTTACCTCAATTCAATCTCACTACCCACGTACCGAAAATTACCGTCTATTGCGTGGGTTGATAACGGCTGTAAGGAACGAATTGTTCTCCGCTACAATCGGATTCACAAACTCTATAATGCTGAGACCGTAACTGATAAACGTTCTTCATTTAAGTAGTTCCTTAGCTGGCGGCATTCAAGTGGGGAAGAGAACGGAGCGGTGGCGGCGGTATTTAGCTGCATTCTATTCAAAATTTTCGATCGATCAAATCTGTCTAATGTGTATCATTCTCAACTTAATTAGGCGACTTTAAAGTTGAATAGAACAGTTACTTAGCGATCTAAACGAACAGCCAACCACAGCTGTCTGCCGACATCTTTATAGCGATACCATTCACGCCCCCTAATTTAGCAGACTTCAGTTGTCAGCAATCAGAATATCATGACTCATGGTCTCGTCGCACTGAAATCTTTCACAACTATATAACAATTACTCAATACGACCCCCAAAAGTTTGCTTTTCACTTGTGGTTTTCAGTAAATCCATTGATTGGCAGCAACTCGTCAATTCATCCCCATTCTCACCGCTCGGACGGTATAAACGGACCTGTGTCTTCTGAAGATGATGAGGAATTTTTTGCCTTCTTTTTCTTGTCATCATTACTACTATTATTGCTAGGGTCATCGTTGTTATTATTCCCATTACGTAGAAATATTATTGCACACTTATTGTATCACATCGTCATATATTAATATGAAGATTAGATTGACTTAGCCGTGGCTGCTACTGCCGTTGCTTCCGAATGTTTGGTACAATTGCTAAGTACCAACAATATTGTACTTGTATTAGAATGATGATTCTGGTGATGATCAAAATGGCTATGTGCTACCGAAATTACGGCCGTGGCTCCCTGAAGCTGTGATCACTTTGGCTGTTTCCGCGACTGTCACCGTTTGGCCGATGTCAGTACTACTGCGATAATTGACCGTAGTAGTAGTAGCAGTAGTAGTAGTAGTAGTAGTAGTAGTAGTAGTAGTAGTAGTACGTAGCAGCCATTGCTGGCTTCTGCGTCTCCGTGCGTCGATCAATATTACCAAGTCGTGAAGAAAGGAAAACGAACAGAAGATAATTGTACGGCTATTATGATCGACTCACATCTCAGGCTGGCGCACGTTCGAAATTGGTCTGTTTGTGTGTGAATCTATATGTATATATTTGTCGTCGTAGCTTTTTTGCTTCTCAATCTTGTATAGAGACGTGCTACACTGAGGGAGAATTACTGTGTTTCTGCTAGGCTGACGTGTTTGTGTTCCGCCGTGTGAAATATAATTTTCGGTATTTGGTGAAGCGGTGTCATTCTAGCAATGGGAAAAGACAATCAGGCCAGCTGAGTTCTTACGGTACACGCTCATGTTTATGCAGACGGCCAGACAAAGTCAGGAAGGTATACACATCATCGCAGCGATACTTGATGGACCATGGACAGAATTGAATTAGAGGAGACCGGCCATTGGCTGGTACGGCTTCGTATCAAGCGATGTTCTATATGGCTGTGTTAGATCACTCTGAAGTCGAATAGATCGCATCATTGCGCCTGGCCAGCTAAATAGCTTTACGTAAAGCAAAATGATTCTGTAGGCAGACATATTGTCGGCGATTTGTCGACAAATTTCGTCGAGATAGGCTTCATTTGAGCTTACTTCCACCATAGTCGATGAGAATGATCCGCTGTCAGAGTTTGCTATTAGGACGATATAGGTTTTCAAGCTGAATTAGAGATACTATTATCGAGATTTAGTTGGCAAGGGCACGCTGGAAAAGTAGGAACAATCGGTTAGCTCAATTCCTCACAAACGACACACTCGTCTCCTGTGTGAACATAGCATACTGGTTTGGCACCTTCAAGCATAAACAGATTAATCGTTGTCATTGAAACATGAATGCCTCCAATCTCTTTCCAAGGTCTCGCGGTGATTTTTTTTCCCAACGTAGCATCCTCTACTGGTATTTCGTATAGTTTACCAAGTTTTCGAGGTTAAAGACGCCTCTATATGAGCCCTTTAAATGTGCTGTCCATGACGGCTGCCAGTTCATATCCTTGGCGACCTTCGGAAGTAAATACCACCTCTTGCGTGGTTTTGGGCATTTAACTAAATTACTTTGTACTAAATAGATGGAGATGACTAAATAATGCTGCTATATTGATATGGCCTCCACGAGTATTATGTAGCTGTTCACTGCATGTTAGTCCAGAAATATATTGACCACCATAACATGTATGGCCAACACGTGGATGCAGAGAAGGCGTGTGCCTTAAACAACAAATATAGTGGTGGCCGTTACTTTTGTCGCAATAAAGACTTCAGGAACGATCAGTAAAGGATCCAAAATATCTATGTAGGTGCTTGAAAGATGTATAACATCTACTACAGGTAACAAGCACGAAGACAGATACATAAACAGGCCGCTGTCATTGACAATGGCCAGGAAAAATGCATTTTCGATTATAGGAATAGTTGAATTCTGAAATAACACGCTCAGACGCACCAAAATCGTAGTAAATAATATTGTAATTATTTATGTTTTTGTGCTTATTATAATTGTTACTGTTATTAGTGTATTAGTGCATCAGTGGTAACAATGGTCATCATAGTGACGATAGCTATTACGACGAAAATGATCTTTGCGGCTAGCAGCCGATCTCTTAATTACCGTTTCATCCGGCGGCATTAACCTACGCTAGTTCAAATCAAACGAAAATCGCGTTCTGCATCAACAGACGATTGATGATCGATCCGGCGATCGCAGCTTCAGCAGTAAACCAATAACAACCGCAAGCACTATTTCTTGTGTTTTCCTTGCCTACCTACGTTTGATCCCTCTCGACATTTGTCCTCGACATGAAAACCACCACAGCATAGGTTATTGTGACCGTCGCTATTGTTGTTGTTGTTACCATGTGATTTTTTAATCCATAAATCATCGCGGAAAGTAGCAACTGAAAGTCAGAGCACGGGGCAGTCCAGGAGGCAAATCAGCCACAGGCCCAAATAGATCCTTCGAGAATGAAGCATAAAAGCCCACTGAATAGTTATGTTGGGTGCAGTTATCCTCATAATCACTTCTGTCAATAGCATCAGCGATACCGTCACCATCTTGTTCAGTAACCGCAGAGCTGACGCCATTGGTTTTTTCCGATACTTCACTACTGCGGATGACGAGGACTCACAATGCTTTCGCAACGCTTCTCTTGTCGTCTCTATATTTGCCCACCTATGAGCTCTACATATGAGCAAGTTGATGTAGCAATAGGGTTAAGATTAGTCAATGATAGTAACACGAACAACGAAAATGCGGGGCAATGTGAATTGCCACAGATAAGGGAAACTACATCTTTGCCGCGACGAAATCAATCCAAGAAGTAGTCGCGGTGGCGATCGTCGAGCTATCCTGTCCATGTGGAGGACTTGGCAACGAAAGAATATCCGGCCGCTGTTAAAAATTCGCTACCGCTTGGATGCTATTTGCAGGGTACGCTTGCGCGCAACATATTGCATTCGTTGCAGTAACCCGTTGCATCGGCATCTTCATCCGCGTCCGCCTGTGTCCTAGGGTACGATCGTTGCACGTTATACAACCTGTTCATGATGGTCATCTTCTAGGTACTCCAGATTCACGCTATTCAATTCTGTCGGCGCTATTGCAAACGGTAACGTGTTACCATGTGCAACCATCAGCTTACCGCTCTGCCTACAGGCGCCGACTGTGAAAGAATCGCCACTCCCTGGGTCTGGCTGACGCTATTGTGCCCGCAGTAATGCCAGTGATGATCGGAGATGCCGGAGCTCAGACGGAATCGCCGGAGTGGTCGATCACCCAAGCGGTGCTGCTGCTACGGCTGCCGTTAGTTCCCACGGTCGGAAATCAAGGACGAGACAATCGACTGGCCCGAATCTTCGCCGATTTTGTAGCGTTTTACTATAAATAAATGACAGATGGATGTACATATGGTGTTTCCTCACATATATTTACTTCGAAAATTTCGAAGTACCTGATATATGTCAAAAATTATAGAAAAGCTAAAGCAAATTATTGAAAAAGGAAAAAATTGAAACGTTTGTAGAACTAACTAGTGTCCATGAAAGTGATTTTTTCAATAATGTTCTTAGAGCATTTACGCACGCTCATAAATTGTAACAATGTCCCTAAAATGGGTAGAGATAGTAAACGGTTCGAGTACAAGCGACGTCTCCGGCACCGAGATCAGTCAGAGGGCCCAAATGTGAATTTAAAGAATTCGATATTCAATGTTTAATGGACCAATGAGTTTGTAGTACGTTCATTTGATACAATATGACATGCTCACAGTAGTAAACATCGTATACTATTAATAGCGTTATATTGGTAAATTTGTAACTACCGAACTAGGCTTCATGGCAACGTAAAATGTTCATCATTACCTACCAACTAATAGTTACTTATTAAAAAAGCAAAGCAAAAATTTTATATACATACATATTCGGCATTTGTAGGTAGTTTTCATACACTAATATATTCAGATCTCGATTGCCCAGGTGGTCTCATCGGTCACACCGCTAAATGGGTTTACGTTCTGTGCATTTTTCGTAAAGAACCCAGATCCAAACGATATTTCGGACGTCCAGCAGGATCTTACTGTACAACGACTGCCCGTACGTTGTCTTTTTGATGGCTGACTACTGCACGACAACGTGCCATCACCAACAGCCTTCCCGGTATCGAAGTGCGGCCTGCGCGTAGCTTGCCTCGTAAGCACGAAGTTGGCCTAGGTACGATGAGCTGGAGTAGCTCGACCAAAGGACTACATATGCACAAAGCTTGCTAGCTCAGATTAGGTTTCTGAAAAGTGCGTGTTAAAGTATATGCAACGACAGGATCCAAAGGCAAGTGAGCACTTAGCGCGACCCTAGCGTAACGCGGTGCCGCGTCGGACATTTTGATCGTGCGGCGTCGACGGATGTCGAAGACGATGAAAAAGAATCAGCACGAACAGGTGGATATGTGATTGCGTGCTGCTACCGGGTCAGGTGTTGTCAGGCGACGCTAAACAGCGAGCGACCGGAAAGAAGCAACAGGGAGAAAATCCTTATACAAATGATTTAGCTACATTGTAAATAGAGACGCGCACATCAAGACTGTTATATTCGAATGTGACATGTGCCCGAAGCATCCGGAGGTTGTGTATCACCGTCGTGAAAGGTGTTTGCCATGCCTAGAATTTTTGCAGGCTGTTTTGAATTTTTTTTCTGCCCATTTCTTCAAGAGGCGACACACTGGTAAGGATCTTACCGAGAAAACTATCCTTGGCATGCTTTTTGCCAGCTCGCTCGGCGAAACTACTACGTAGATGCTATAATTCTGGGTTAATAATTGCATAATTTTACTGCATTCGTTTGTGAACGGTGAGATTTCCATCAAACAAAGTCAAAGGACCTTTACCTTTGCTTTGTCTATTGTGGTCTACAATTTGATTTCAAGTATTACTATTTTCAAAAGCAACAGTCGCTTCTTCTTGCGTTGAAAGAATCTCGTAAATGCTCTCGTCCTTTTTTTCGATTGAAGTTGATATTCTTGACCAGTGTGTGATCCTAATAACAAGTTAGAAGTATAACTTTCATTAGGACTAGTTCAATAACGCCTTACATGCTTAACTAACAAGCAGTGGTAACAATATGTTTCCTAGTGGAAGAATATGGATAGTGGATAGAAGAACATGTTTGGTCTGCCGCTCTTTAACTTCTATTGAAACGCCAATGAAGATTATGATTTCTGTTGACATTTACTTAAACATGAAAATGGCCATAACCACATTATATTAACAAAAGTACCGAGTAAAAGGTTCGTATCGAAACCTTAAAAACACTGACCCATTAACAAATGTAGCCGCACTAATAAGCGTAATTATTTTCCATATTAATCTCTTTAGGCTGGTAACAGATTGTTTTTTCCCTAAATTCGATCGTTCTCAAAAAAATTCAAATAAACAATATTATAATTATTTTCTATATCTGTCCTGTGTTTAAGTGATCTATGCATTAGTCACAATCACTGGTTATTCCGATTCCATGTCTTTTAGCTGAATTTATACAGTGCACTCATAAGTATCTGAATCTCTGCTTGAAGTTCGACCGAAATGAAAAATTTTATCGGTTGGACAGAATTAAGGGGGGACGATAAGCTCCTGATCTGTGAAGGCCAATGGTACAAATATAATTATCTACTATCTCTGAGACAGGTAAGTTTTACTATTTTATATGGAAATATCAATAATGTCAATGTAGTAATACTCAGTCGAAGCGGAGTGCCCCTCTATATCGTTTTACGCTTCCATCTCATGCCCCTCTCAGTTTTCGGTAGTTAGTTGAGCAAACAGCCCTATAGTGTTCAGAGCGGAGATCGATTACAGGATGATCGACGTATATAATTCTTTTATTCTTTGGCTAATTGTAGATCGGCCTTGTCTAATCTCAGCTTCGAATCGCTCGCTAATGACTCCCTGAACGTTCTTGGCAAAAAAACAAATCACCGTAAGCTAAAAAAATATCCTTGCACTTCACACCTCTAAATACGCTGAGCTCATTAGCGGTAAGGATGCTTGATCACTGTCCATTTTAGCAAAGATCTATTTTACCACCTTAGTCATATTTGTATCACAATCGTGGGGTGTCCCGGAAGCGATGTCTTCGATCGTTTTCTTCCCAACCTGATAGGAAGTTTTCACGATTTTGCACACACAAAATCATGACACCAAAGCCATGCTAGCGGTTTTTTTGTTATTACAAATTTAATAACTAAATGTTTCGATCGTAGCCATCTTCTGGTTATTCTCATTTTATCATTAACGGAGTACCCTGGAACGACTCAATACAACTGTTCATTTTAACCCAACGAGCTCGCAGTCATACTGAGGCCTGTTCGAGGTCATGCCTTCGTGAGTCGCTTCCCGGATTTCGGCTGTGCATTGAAACTATTAACCAGTCCTATAATTGTGGTAATTTTTTTTTATCTCGGTTCACTTGGGCTTCGATGTTTGATCTGACTAGAATGGAACTAGAACCGTATGAGATAACAGACCTGACAGAAGCAACAAGGTTGGCCAATGTCCTCATTGAATCTCCATCCCTGAACTTCACCCGCGCTACTAGCCCCGATATAACATTATTTGATGTCATTTCCTTCGATAATTTCGTATTCCATGTCGTTATTTCAGTAACATCGCCATGGCGGCTCCATCACGCTGCCAGTGATTTTGAATGAGCGTGCGATTCGAACCATCTGAGAAGATGAAGATTTTGCCCGCCTCTGAATCCTCCTCGGTTGAACTTCATCGTTAATTCCTCAATGGCATCAGCAGCAACAACAGGCAATGTCACATTCATGTTGCCATATTTCACCAATTTGACTAGCCATTGGTAGACTACGGACGTCTGTTAACAATGCGAGTGACCATAATCTAAAGTTGGACCAGCGACGAGCGACCAGCAAGCCAAGGCAGCGCGGCATCGTCGTAGTCGTTCAATATAGATGAACGACGTGCTTCATTTTTCAAACTTATAAGGGTTTGGCGCCACGCATAGATATTCGTACAGAGATATATACATGCAAGACGTCCAGAGCGGATGTGCCAGCACGAAGCATCGAATCATCATCACTCGTGATCGCCATGAGCCACCCGAGCTCGGAGGAGTGGGGCTCTCCTCGGCTTTCTACGGTATCGTAGCTGCCGCCAGCGTCGCCATTGAAGACGCCATTGGCGCCATAAAGGACACAGTTATATCCATAGATATTTGTTCATTGGAACGACACGGCAGTAACGTTGTACGCGTTTTCCTAGCCAGTCACCCTCAGCCTACGAATGATTCTTCGTGCTACAGTCTACCGACAAGGGGGGAGGGGTTGGAGGAGACGCTGCCCCGGGCTTCACAAAGTAGAAAATTACTCTGCTGGACTTCACCGGCTCTCGCGGCTACCTGATTACCGTTGTCCCTGGCGATATCGTATGGCCACAAAAGGCAGTCATGTCTATTGCAGATGGCTACAAAATTCGAACAGGTAATCGAAGGGCGATTTTTCTCCTTCGCCCGCCATTGCAAAGAAAACAACAATCGGGACCGCAACCAATTGTCGCTTCCATTTCGAGCTATGCAGTTAACTATGCCACCTTTGTACCCTTCGAACCGGCACACCTCATTGTCTTACTTTAGCTCAGTTTACCACGCGCATTTGCCTACATATCCGCGTACACTTAGTAGTCAGCTCTGTTCCACAGAGGAGTACAGCAACTCGGCATCTTTAACGTATAAGACGTTGTACTCATAGTTGAATCCTGTGATTGGTATCATCTCTACAGGCTGATTTTTTTACTTTCTTCTCAGTATTACAAGCTGTAGTTGGACGTCAGAAGAATGGGTGATTTTTCGAAAAGCGTGGTAAGCTATTGTAATGGAACTTGTTAATTGCACTCTATTGAAAACATTACTGTTAATAAGTAAGATCGCTAACTAAGAAGCGCTGGTATAGAGTGACGTTGAAGAACACAGACACCCGTACTTCATGATAGGATTTTAATTGAAACAGGACTTTGGAATCAAGATGTGTCAAATACTAATACGATTAACTTCCTAGATCTTGTGAACGTTCCAGAAAAAAACTGGTCGAAGTTAGAACGACATCCGTTATTACAGAATAGCAATTGGCTATTATTAGCTTTTACTAATTAGGTCGACGTTAAAAAAGCCGATCTTCTTTTTTTCAGTTTTAGATCTGTAATATAATGTGATGACTCTGATTTTAATTTCACTGCATGTGTGCCACCTATCGGGCCAGTGAGAGAATGTTGTCTTACCAATGTGCATATGTAAAACTGACCTGTGGATTGATCTGGAGACCTTGGCACAGAAAACTTCAAATGCAGCCGTTCTTCGCGGAAGCGTTCGGGAAAGGGGGTACAGGGGGCCTTGGCGAGACGCATGGCGCAGTCTCCGACGTTTACTTTCGGTTTTTCTTTACCGCTGCTGTCTTCGTCGATTTTCGGGCCTTGATGGTGTCCGATTTAAAGTTCCTGCGTGTGTGTTCTCGACTGCTATCCACTGTTCGTTTCTCTCCGTATTCCGTTTAGCTTTTAGCCTTGACATTCTCGGGGGGCCCGCAATGTAAATGTTGACCACCACTTTTTCGCCAGCGCGAGCTCGTCGGCTATCGGATATTTTGTAGACACTTGATTTATGCTTTTGAATCGCTGCCGTACATCTGGGTGCGAGGATTCCAAACGGGGCAAGCACAAGATAAAGGGGCAAACTGTACATGGTTGGCTTCACAGTAGACGACTGTTTGTGACATGTCTCTCTAGGCCGTAATGCTGTTGATCAAAAGAGTGTACAGAATAAATATATTGACGTTAAAAGCAAGAGGAAAGCTTTAAAAATAAAGAAAAAAGAATGAGCTTTTGTTTGTCACAAAGGCGGCGAACGTTTTTTTTTTTACCATACCGCCTTATTCTGTGTTAGCAAATTATCCATAATAACATAAGTCGGCACAGTAGACGATGCCGAAGCTCAGTGTAGAGAACACACAAAGACAAACAAACAAACAACAAAGTTCTGGCGTCATTAAGATGATGATTCAATACATTCTGCCGAATCCTTTGGAAAAAAGTTCTGCTTGCTGTTGCGTTAAATGCAGGTTGTTATTGGCTTGCACAGGGCCGTGAGCGACGAAGAAGCGGATGGCACAGGCAACATGGCGAACGGCCACGTTAGTTGCCTAAAGAAACGTTCAGACAGGTTCCGGTAATTTTGCCTGGTGACCCTACCCATTTTTAGCTACCTGACAGTGACAACTTGCTAATTGAATACCACTTTTATTCATGCAAACAAGGTGTATGTATGTATCTCCACTTTGAAATAATAAAAACACAATCACCCATAGCTACGGATCATATTTTGAGTTCGGAGTGAAGCTATGCCCATGGATCTACCTGGCCAGATGCTATGCGTAAGTGACGCTGATGTATCTAATTAATCTTGTAGCTTTAGGGACAAAGAAACATCTTCTTTAAATGTTTATTAAAAGTTATTTGTTTGAAGTTAGCCCAAACATTCTGCTGTTCTAAAAATGACACGATAAGAATTAATTTCATAAAATCACTACTTAGAAATCTGCTTCATCAGCCACTGTGCAGAAACTCTTTTTATGCACTATCAGTCACGTACCTTTGGTTTTCGAAAGTGAAGGTCGTACACAATGTTTATGGTCGTATGAGAGATTCTAGCAACGAAAAAGCGGAAGTAAAAATCTGAGCTGGGGTTGTTTTTCTGGGATCTTCGCTGTCTTTATGAGGCACAACTTCATTAGATCGTTAGATCTTAAGAACAACGGATATAGTATCCATAAGTGCAGGTATAATGCACACAATTGAAAATTACATGAGGGCGGAGTAGATAACAACGTCAGGGTTCCCATGCAGACGCCTTACGTCGGGAACAATGCCACGCGCGACGCGGATGTTCACATCACCCGTTGCTCGACTCAAATGCACATCGAGGGTAAATATTTACAAATAGATCTATACTTCTTATAGCTTTTCACCGCGACCGAAACGAATTCTCCCTGGGATACCGTTCGCTTCATAAAAACATTCTGTGCTTCAAAATGAACATCTAGATAATGATTTATTAGATACCCAACGATACGCGGTTATAATTGCTCAGTTTATTTAATCGTTGGAATCATTCATCCTGTTCGTATTTTATAACATCTATTTGTTCATTACGAAGATCCATTTAGCCTACTACGACTACGTCTGGGGCTCACACGATTCTCGCAATTTGACAAAATCCTCAATGAATAATGGGCTTCTGGCAAAAAAAAAAGTTAAATTGTGTACGAAAGAATTCAATTATAGCTACCAATAGATGTCACCTGGCCGAAACTTCTCCCATAATCATCACAGTAGCTTATTGTACACCTTAAAATTATCTATTTTTTGTCTGCTCGCAAAAAATTAAGATTAAATTGTTGCTGTCCACCATAAGGCTGTTATTGCTTTGTCCTTAATAATAATTCTAGCAGGAACGTCACTTACTTTTTATTTCTCCAATAGGTGCTCTCTTTTTCGGGGGTCCGCCTCTTAAATTTACGAAAAAGAAGAACAACTAAATATCGCATTGGCCGATCAAAATTGCACAACGAAAAGTGTACACTTGACGAGTAAGTAAGAATCAGTCATGTACATATATATATATATATATATATATATATATATGGCCGTCCTCGGCATCTACGACCCGTTACCTGTAATTACATGAATAGCGGGCCAGCTTGAGAGTCTGCTGCTTTTAAGGATGGAGTTTGACTGGGCGGCAAAATAGTGAGATGGGGCAATGTCATTTGTTCAATAACAAACACACGCATACACACACGAACTTCGCTGTACTGTGACGTGCGCTCTTCACGGTTTTTCTCCTCCCTGGTAGAAGTGGTGCCATTGGCTTTTGCCGTTTGGTTACATATTTTCCTTCGGGTAAAATTGTGTGCGTCTGTGTATATAATATGTACGTTTGTTGTCTATGATGTCCCTTGAGATTTTCTTGATCCATCGCTGCTGTTCACTCGTTACTTAGACGAGATAACATCGTTTGCCATTTATGAAGTGGAGAAAGAGAGCCTTCTAGCGATGAGTGGACAACTGCATAACAGACTGATATCTTTGCTACAACTAATACGTGAAAAATATTTGACAAAAAAAAACGGTCACTCTTAACTACTTGCTTTTTACACTGAATCCATTCCGCAATTGTGTGTACTTTCTAATATATCTGTACGTGTGTGTAAATGGGAATTGTGCATATGGGTCTATGTAAGAGCGGGCCTATGTTTTTGATTGTCTTTAGATGCGTGTCTCTATGGGAGGCCTTTGTAACACTAGCTTCAAATCGACAATGAGCGATTATTGAGCACCTATAAGATGATACTTGCAGTAGCCGGTCCTTGCAGAAGAACTTGAGTCGGGAGTGAAGATGAAAACAAGAACGAGTAAGGTGTATATATATATATATATCGGTAGATAAATACAGACAGCCAGGTCTTCGTGTACATAGTGACTGGAACCGTATTCCTAGTAGCACTACAAATACTGAGCAAATTAGTAAACTACACTGCCATAGCGCGGTATTAAGTATGTAATCGTGTAACGACGTTCTATTTAGCCAATGTGAGCCTAAGAGAAAATGTAAAGTCGAACACATTCAGCTGATTCGTTTAGTCAAATAGTTGGCGACGACTTTACCAATTATTTGCTGTACGGGGCAGGCCCGCCATTTTGTACGCCATGATAGCAACACATTATCCACGCCAATGCATCACGGTCACAAGTTTTTGCTTATCGACGTGTCGTTCAATGATAACCATACTGTCAACGCGGGTACGACTGTGTCACTTGCGACCGTTGAACCGTACATCATACGTCAGCATGTCACCTCTAGTCTGGCCCCCAGATGTGAGTCGCCGATATGTGGCATGCTAACGGCACTCGAGCTGAAATAGTGATGCTCTGCTCATCATTAGCAGGAAAGCCGGCCTTGTAACGACCGGTTTGTGAGAGCAGCTACTGGAATCTGGAAGTTAGGTCGGCCTGTCGGACGATGTTGCCCATGCCAACACTGGTGTAAAATAAGAGAATTACTGATAATTATATTTAGAAATGCTGATTAATGGCCTGGAGAAATCAAGCAAACGATGAAACATCTACTATGTCTACCGTGACAGTGTAGATGGATAAACCCCGACGGTTGGGTGCCCCAATTATTTCCTATGCCTGCTACTGATGTCGACACAAACGACACTCAGCTAGTGAACTTTCTTCGCCTTCTTCGGATTTTTCTCTAGATTTACTATCTCAAGACGAAGATCTATATGCTCATGTCAAACGATTTTGCCGTAATGGTCTGGGTTGTCAAACAATGCGACCACGGGTCTGTTAATAATAATCAAACTATTAATAACAGAGGAAGCTGACGAAAACTAAAGAAAATAAATATTCCTATGAATAATTTACCAAATTGAAACGGTTTATCAAGCGGTTTGAAGTTTGCCAATGAAAGTAAACAGTCAGTCAAATCGACCTGAGTCAAAGTCATGGGCACTGGGTTACCTAAAAGCTGAAAAAGGCCTATGCCCTTCCCGAGCAGCCCGATCATTAGGGTAAAGAAAATATTCAAATCTATCGGGTCTTTCAGACAATTAATCAAGTAGCACTCTGATCTCCAAACACAAATCAACTACAACGGCACTCTTTACTAAATATGATTCAAACAGCAGCGAATAATTCGCTTTCATCAATTTCACAGATTCCTTCATTCTGGGTCGCTTTAATATTCACCGTTGCAAGTCGGCGCTTTACATGAATATTCTGGGTTTTTTTTTTAATCATATTTCAAGTTTATGGTCTACGAGGCGAACCTTCTAGGCGGCCAATAAAAATACAGCATAAATGCAGTCCGTATACCCTAATTTGATCATGCTGTTGCATTCCTTTGATTCATCCTTAAGAAAATTGCACCACTGACAACCACTATAATTAACTGGTAGCCGGTGACGAAGCAGACTCCTGACCGTAGCCACTGACTAGATAATCACAGCCCATAAATAAGCGCATTTATGCACAGCCAGAGTTTTTGTTATAGCTCGTCATATCCTATACCAGCGAGCGTCGATAGAACTAAGATAAATTCTCAGCTCACGACTACTCTCGTGCCAATCTATCGAATATACCCATTGTAACAATAACTACAAGAACACCAATCAACGACAATCATATAATAGTAATAGATTGATATATTTGAATATATCGATAGTAAGAAGCACTGTTGCACATTGATATGTCAAAACTGTTATAGTTGGTGGGAAGTCACAGGTGCATTTACCCGTTTACATGCTGCTGCTTCTTCTACTGCCCGTCCGGTCAGCCCCTTTCACGTTTTCCTGATTTTGATCACATAACTCAAACACACATACACACACACACACACACACATACATACCTAGATAGATAAAAACACGAAACAAACAAGAGGGAATACCAAAAGATATACACGTAACAGATGTGGAACTGGCAGCCACATTTCCCGTCTAATTTCGTTGCTATAAAACGCAACGCGATAATAGACTACAATTTACTAGTAAAAACGCCAAAACACTACGGAGAACTATATTGAACTTGTTGATTACTGCTATTATTAATATTACAGGCCAGCTATATGGGCACGTTGGCCTCTCCGGCATCGCGTGCGGCGTTTCTGTCTGCCTCTTCCGAACGCTGGACCCGAACGTTGCCTAGAGACGAAATGAACTAGACTTAAT